TTCATTGGTTGTTTTACAAAACCCTGTGGGTGGTACTAATGTGTAAGAATGTGTATATAAGAACAATAAACCCACAGCTCTGTCTGTTCCTGCTTGACCCTCAAAACTGAGCCCTGTCTCGTTCTTGGGGGGATTTACTGTATGCTGTTAGAAACTGATTGCTAGGAGTGCAAGCTGCTTGGGTGCTTTTCCTATTCGTCTGATAGCAGCTATTCATGAGGTTCCAGTTTGGGAGTTTGGAGTGCTATTTTGTATGCAGTTTGGGAGTTTGGAGCATTCCCTTGTATTCATTTCGGGAGTTTGGTGTTCTGCAGTAGCTGTGCCTGTGTCTCTGGAAGGGGAAGATCTACTAAACAGCGGTTTAACCCTTTTATGTCTGGGGGTGCCGTTACAATAACATACAGGAATATAATTTCTGATTAGTGGGGTAATAGCTGCTTAATCCAAGGAGACATCTGACTGCTATTTTGGGGGTCAAGAAGGAATTTTTTCCTAGTTTGATGCAAAATTGGAAGAGCTTCAGACTAGGTTTTTTGCCTTCTTCTGGATCAACAGCAAAAAAAAGTGTGAGGAAGGCTGAATTTGATGGACGCAAGTCTCTTTTCAGCTATGTAACTATGTAACCAGTCTCTCTCCCCAGCGGCAGCCAACGTTACCGGGAGAGGAGATTGAAGGTCCCTCGCCCCAGCAGCAGTGGGCATCACTGGGAGTGGAGATGGTCGGTCCCACTACCCACTTTCAGGCAGCATTACCGGGAGACATGACAGTCGGTCCGACTCCCCAGCAGCAGTATGGTTCAAATGGAGAGGAGACAACCGGTTCTTCCTCACAGTGGCAGTGCCTGTTATCAGGAGACAGGACAACTAGAGCGATTGGTGCAGATGGGACAGAGGTCTCTGCACCAACCTTACAGGGATGCTGGGCAACCTTCCCAGATCACCAACCCCAGCAGCCGTGTATCCTGCAGGGAGGAAGCGGCAACCGGTCCTTCTTCCCAACCGCAGCAGGAGTTCCAGGGAGTAGAGACAGTCAGTCTCTCTCTCCAGCAGCCGAGAGCCGTCCCAGCAGAAGAGCTGGCATCAGGGTAGAGCGCAGCTGGTCTCTGCCCTACCTGTCTATTTGCTTCCGGGCCTGACGTTAAACAGGGCTGAAACGCTGGCTATGGAGCAGAGCGTTGCTGGCCTCTGCCCACACAGCACCGACAGCCCCACGACGGGGAGCAAGGGGTGACAGACAGCACACACATAGAAACCAGGAACTGACAGGGCAGATCATGGAGCAGTTTGTGGGTGGGCTTCCAGACTACCTCAGGCACCGACCGACAGGAGGTCAGGTACCTGGTTAGTCTACCCCTGGAGGGGGGGGGGGGGGAGATATGTGACAAACACCCTGTGGTCTGGTCATTTGCCACAAGCTGCTGATGGAACCTGCTTGCCAGCCTCCTGCCTCAGGACTATGGGCCCTGCAATATACCTTGCCCAATGCACTTTAAAAGGCTCAGTTCATGTGCTTTATGTACTTTTATACTCCAGAAAGAGAGGCCGACCATTGCCCCTGATTCCCTGGAACTGCCTCTTTATACAGGGGATGTAATTTTGTGGGGTTTTTATGTGTTTTGGGGGTATTTCTGGGGTTTTGTTATATTTCCTGTTTCTGTTCTAAGAGATAATTCAATTATATGCTTGTGTGCTCAGGTAATTATCTCTCAGGCACAGGGAAGGAGTATGTTAGATGTTTGCTTGTAACTAGTCTCCTCTCAGGTCCAGGGAGAGGGATTATCATGCTTTGTGTGGGAGTTTTATGGGTGTGTTTACGGTGTCCCTGTATTGTATAAACGCAGGCCACTGAGCCTGGATTAAACACATTCATTTTACCCCTTCATGAATTCTAGGCTCATGTTTGGGGGATTGGAGAGCTATAATCACTGCAGCACTTGGGATTCAGGAGACTACTAATGGATATACTCAGCCGGAGAATAGGGATCCGTTACAAGGTGAAACAAAGGTGAAAGTTGACTGTGGAAAGCGAGTAGGTGCGGCCAAAGCAGAGTTCCATAGAATTGCGACCAAGTCCCGCTACAGTACTAACGGCTTCCTGGGCTTATTGGCTGACCCAGATGTGAGGCACTGTCGGATGGTTAGCATGGAGGGGTAGGTTATAAGAGCCAGGGGTAGTAATCAAATCTCTTGATGAGAAGATGGGGGATAAAACAGCATAAACATGCTTGCCACATGTCCTTTTGGGGTTTACATACATGTAAGGACACAAGTGACTGGGTGTTGCTTCACAATTTACATACATTGTTAGTGTGCTAACTGCATCGCTCTCTTTTTACCAAATGAAAATGTGTCAATTTACAGAATGTTGGCATGCAAATTATTGCAACCAAATAAGTAGTTATGTGTGTGTGTGTATATATATATATATATATATATATATATATATATATATATATAATTGAAAACAAGGGGATTAGGCGCTCACTATAGTAATAGGCTAAACAGTAAAATTGGGCAGCAGTTGTTGCTGGAGGGGTGCTACAGGCTACCACAACCGAAGGCGAACTCCCAGCAAATCAGCAGGGATGTAATAGTGCGATTTCAGCACGGCCCGGACAAGCAGGCCTTCCTGTCAGCGGTCCGCAACACCACTTCTTACCAATTTGAGGGACATTCCTTATTAGTCTACCCGCACATTTCCAGGGCCACAATGACATGGCGGAGATCCATGAGACCACTTACCACAGTGCTGATGCAACATAGAAGACCCTACAGAAGGGGAGCACCACGAAGCCTTTTGATACCTAACGAGACTGGGACTCTTAGAGTTGCCGACATATCCAAAATGGGCTCCATTCTTCAACAACTTGGTCTCCCCCCCGCGGAGATGAGGACGCAACCACCAGTGCCTAAGTCAAAGTCACAGACATGGAACCTGGCCACTATCAGCCCTTTTGTCCCGGCTACCCAACAGAACAACACCGCTACCACCGAGACAACTTGAATGTCCTACACTACCACGCAATGCTTGCAGTACTGCTTTTATCCAAGTCACTGTTTAATATGTTGCACTGTTTATTAGATAATTAGGTACATTAGCATGCACAATGTGTAGGCAGATAGCTGTCCCTGGAGACATGTCTCACCAAACCCTCACCCGCTGGCTCTGGGGTATAAGTACCCCTTTCTTTCTCTCCCCCCACCCCGATCATCGATCTCAGCACTAAGTGACATGTTAAAAGGGGTGTTCACCTCTTGTGCTTTAGCTACAAATGTTAACGTCCTACACTCGCTGATCCCAAGAGGCTCATAGCGATTAGTGCCCCGTGACAACATAAGATTTTACTGATGACCTTCCAAAGACGGGCAGTCGGCATAGTTTAGCTGAGTTGATTAGCCACTGTTTCCTATAGTTTTTTACGATAAAACCTTCAGACCTAATGCGTTTCACATGGTTAATTATGAGAGAATAGGCAGGTTTGCTATATACTGTTGTTATGCATGCTCCTAAAAACGCCTTGCATATTATCACACAACCTCCAGTACACACAAACTGGTCTGTGAGCCACTCTTAGCCCTGTTTAAGATAACCTGTTTTATTGCACTGCTAATTAGTACGCAGAGTAACGAAATTCTGCTAGTAATAAATACCAAAATGTGCATGAAAAGTATTTGCCATGTGAATGTTATATTATGTATAATGGAAAGCTTGCATCCGCTGTCGTGGCAATGCAGGCTGCCTGTACACAACAAGCACAATAAAAATAAAGAATTTATTTTAAAAAAAACAAAAAAAACGTACTCACATTTGCTAGAGCACAACTTGCTCTAGTTGGTGCAGCACAGGGGGTATAATCCCCACCAGGGAATATGATGGTAACCAGGAGGTAAAGGAGTTGAAGTCTAGCATGGATAAAGGATAAAAATATACCTTTTAATGATAACGGAAAATAATAAAATAGTAAAATACTTTTCGTATAGTAAAATACGTTTCACTTGTGGAACACAAACGGTGCCAGAATGGCATTGCTGTGTTACCACCTATGAATATCAATCTAATGCAACCCACAATGCGGTCAGCATAACAATATGTCCTTTAATAAAGTAGGGACAGTCCTGTTAATGTAATTATCTGTGCCTGTTGATGTCATCACTGTCCCTGTATAGCAGGGGATGCTGGGAAACGACCTTGCATGGTCAGTTTCCCACACAGTCCACCTGATTAAAACCCCTGCTGAATCAGTCTGGAAACCCTGTGCAGGGAAAACCGTATAAATTTGGTGACTTTTCCATAAAGCCCTCAGTTGACTCCCAGACTATGTGTCGTCTAGTCATTGGGAAAGGGATTATACTATGCAACTGTGTTCTGAATGCTGATACCTGGTTACCAGCGGAGAGATCGTGGATTAACCCTTGCTGCTCCACTACAGTGTGCTCACCCTTGCAAATAGACACAGACCGAGGTGGTCAGGTAAGAATTCACCTGGTCTGTGAGTCTGTGCACGGGGGCTGTGCAGGAACAATAACCAGGTACGAGGAAACAGACAAGGGCAAATCCAGGAGAGTAGTCAGACGAGTTTACAAAGGTCAGGGCAGGCAGCGAACAGGCAATAGTGAATATACAGAAACAGGAGTAAAAAACCAAGTCAGTCAGGAACAACAGTAGTCAGGATACAATGAACTGACAAAGTTCGCAGGGTGAGGCAGTGCTTAAATACCAAGCTGATTAGCATCTGCTTCAGGTGGGCTAGATAGACATGAACAGCCATGAGAAAAGTTCAGCCCCCAGTGCTGGAGATAAGGCAAGGCTGGACATAAGCAAAAACCATGAGTAGATGAGTGGCTCAGAGGAAAGAGAGCAGGACCATAGCAGCAAGAGTCCAGAGAACAAATCCCCTGAAGCTACCAGGAAGATAAGCACACCTTGCATTCCACATGTCACTATGGAGATTGTGACATTACCCCTTCCTCAAAATCGCCCACAGGGCGTGAACAGGAACTTTATCTCCTCTTTTTCTTAGGCTTAGATGAGACTTTGACGGTTTGGTATTTCTCTCCCATCCCTAGTGTAAGGATGGGGTCATTATTTCTCTTTATTAAGCCATACTTGACAACTCGTGAAACCATAGGTTTTTCCCCGGTAGGTAATGGTTGTGAGCAAGAGCACGTAGAAACTTGATTGGCGGTGTCTTCAGGAGGGTTAGCCTCCACATACCTCATAGCATCCAGATAACTTTCATAAAGGCAAAGTTCTTTAATCTGCATGATAGTGCTATCACTGGCTTTTACAATTCCAGGGGTACCAAATGGATGTTTTGCCATGTTCAGTTTTTCTGTGGATTGGATGATAGGAGTAGTAGTCATAAGTTCTGGACATTCACTGATAGCTTCATCCTCTGAACCAATGCCTTCTGAGGGCGAAGCATTATAGTGCATCTCTACAGATTCTCCATCAAAATCATGAGAACTTAGTAAATCATCATCTGAGGGATGACTGGCTGTGTGTTCTAGGGAAACACTGGGATCATTAGCCTTCGCAGTCGGGATACTCTTCTGTGTCACTGAACGTGGAAATGTAGGGATGACAGGGTGAAGCTGAATGATACCTACTCGAAGAGGCTTAGGCTGAGGCGGGCGAATAGAGCAGCGAGAGATAAAGTGCCCTCTTTCTCCACAATAGAAACAAAGGCCACAAGCTCTCCTTCTGTCTCTTTCTCTAGACGACAGTCTAGTATGGATGAAGCCGATCTCTATGGGCTCCTTTTTTTCCTCTGGAGTCTCCCTCGGGACTGGACCATAAGGAGGCAACAAGGAGACCTGACGTTGGTACAGGGTCTCCTTATTTCTGGGAACCTGGGATCTTCTGGGATGTGGAGCAGGTTTGACCACAGTGTTCTTGCACTGCGAGTCCATTGCAGTCATGAAGGATGCCCAACTGTCGAGGATAGGACTCTTAGACTGCAGCATGTGGTGTGCCCATGTCTTGATCCTTCCGGACAGCAGGTTAATAGCCGCACGGACCATGATAGAGTCACTGGCATATGTGCGAGGCTTTAAGGCAAATACATTTTCCCAATCCACCTTAAAGCACAGAAAGGATGCACGGCTACCGTCGAACCTCTCAGGCATAACAACGTATGGCTCAGGATAAGTAGGTTCCGGGGCTGGGCATACTGTGCCTTTAAGGAATAGAACTTCTCGCTGCAGCTCCGCAACAGTCTGGGCCAGACTGAACACTTGCTGGGAAAGCAGGGTGCACATCTCTGCAGACTCCATATTGGTCAGTTCATTATGTAATGGTCTTACCTTGGTTGGAGTCTGAAGTGCAAAGATATGTGCTCACCCTTGCAAATAGACACAGACTGAGGTGGTCAGGTAAGAATTCACCTGGTCTGTGAATCTGTGCACGGGGGCTGTGCAGTAACAATAACCAGGTACGAGGAAACAGACAAGGGCAAATCCAGTAGAGTAGTCAGGCGAGTTTCCAAAGGTCAGGGCAGGCAGCGAACAGGCAATAGTGAATATACAGAAACAGGAGTAAAAAACCAAGTCAGTCAGGAACAACAGTAGTCAGGATACAATGAACTGACAAAGTTCGCAGGGTGAGGCAGTGCTTAAATACCAAGCTGATTAGCATCTGCTTCAGGTGGGCTAGATAGACATGAACAGCCATGAGAAAAGTTCAGCCCCCAGTGCTGGAGATAAGGCAAGGCTGAACATGGGCAAACACCATGAGTAAATGAGTGGCTCAGAAGAAAGAGAGCAGGACCAAAACGGCAAGAGTCCAGAGTTCAAATCACTAGGAAGATAAGCACACATGTCTCGATGGAGATCGTGACAGAAATGCACACTATGATTTGAAAAGTTAATTTTAAGGTTTATTGACAGGTTGAGGGAATTTAATGATTTCTGGAAGTCTATAAGGATTTCTTCTCCTTCAGTCCATATTATGAAAAAAATCATCAATGTAACGATAATAAGTGTATGGTCTGTGGGGCTGTGTACATAAAAATCTGTTTTCTAGGTCAGCCATGAAAAGATTAGCGTATTGGGGTGACATTTTTGTGCCCATCGCTGTCCCTGTCATTGGTAGGTAGCTATTGTTATTAAAACTGAAATAGTTGTGTGTGAGTATGAATTCTATAAGCTGGGCAATAACTGCAATATCATATTTGTGTGTTGGTTTCTAGGATGATAGAAATTTAATGCAGGCCTCAATACCATCCTTATGTGGGATGTTACTGTATAAGGATTTCACATCCATTGTTACTAGTATTTTGTTTTCAGGTAGTTCATTTATCTGGTTAAGTTTATTGAGGAAATCTGTAGTGTTCTGTATAAAGCTCTCAGTCTAACTAGGGGCTTAAGAATGTTTTCTATTAGGCCAGATATTTGTTCCGTGAGTATTGCCATACCGGTTATAATGGGCCGTCCTGGGTTTCCTTGCTTGTGGATTTTGGGCAGCACGTAGAAGGTTCCCATCTGAGGACTGGAAGGCATCAGATTTTCTAATTTTTGCTGTAGGTGTTTCGGATATGATTTTTTAAGTTTTGCAAGTTTAGCTGTACATGACTTGGTTCACTCTGCAAACTGTGTCAACATATATGTGGCAATAACACAATAGCCAGACACAACAACAAATCATAAAGCATTAAGGGATCATATTCGTGCACATCTGCAAATGTTTTTTTTCTGGCTATTCTCAGCCAACCTGCACCTTTCACTTTCAGGCACATCTTCTGCTATTTATGACACCCAACTTACCCCCCTCCCTCCACTAACATCAGTTGTTTTAAGGGTTAAACTATCAGATTGATCTGTATTGCTTCAGACCTGAGGAAGAGAGGAAAACGAAAGCCTGTCTTTGAAATATTATGTTAGTCCAATAAAAAAAGGTATCATTCATACTGCAATACTCTGGGATTTTGTCTACAGGACAAATATAGCTAAGTTAATCTACTATATATATATATATATATATATATATATATATATATATACATACACACACACACACACACACACACACACACACACACACAAACATATACACACAAACAAATAAAAAGCAAAATAAAGTTCAAATATAAGTCCAAGTGTGAATCCAAATTTAAAATTTAAAAACTTGCTGGAAGATAAAACCTCAAAGAGTCAGGGTAGTTCCTCTGGAATGGGGTCGGATCAGAGTAGTCTTGGCGGCCATATATGCAAAAGAAAGAGAGAACTAATGGTGCAGAAAATCCCAGAACAACATAAAAGCAAATAAAACGCCTATGGTCCTACTTAGTTGATCGAGATTAACCTAGCTCTAGTCTGAATGGCGTACAGTGGTACAATCCCCACTTATAGGATACGCAAGATGGTGTAGGTAGGCAGATGTATCATCGGTATGATCATAAAGAATATAAAAGAGACAGCAGTGCTCACAGTATAAAAAGGTACCAGGAGTATAAAATAATGAATTAGTGCTCACATTTTATTGGGCAGACTAACTGCTCAATGTGTATGTCAGGAATACAAGTTGAGCCAGCACGTAGAACTGCATCACACCTAGGACTAAAGGTAACGTTTTACCGGGCCTTAGAATGGCCGGACTTAACGTACCAGAGAATAGTCATAATACTTGCCGAGGTCAGGGATACAGAAAGAGACAACGATGGGAGAAAGACAAAAGTCAGGGATACCAGAATACAGGGAAGTCAAACCAAGCCAAAGTCAATAACCAGAAATAAACGCTCAGGAATACACTCTCGGACAACCACTAGGGAAACCATGACAGGGCAATGAGCAGAAGGAATAGGTAAACTTAAAGGACCACTCTAGGCACCCAGACCACTTCAGCTTAATGAAGTGGTCTGGGTGCCAGGTCCTTCTAGGGTTAACCCATTTTTTCATAAACATAGCAGTTTCAGAGAAACTGCTATGTTTATGAATGGGTTAAGCCTTCCCCCTAATCCTCTAGTGGCTGTCTCATTGACAGCCACTAGAGGCACTTGCGTGCTTCTCACTGTGATTTTCACAGTGAGAGCACGCCAGCGTCCATAGGAAAGCATTCAGCCGACGGGGAGGAGAGGAGGAGGATCGGGGGAGGAGAGCTCTCCGCCCAGCGCTGGAAAAAGGTACGTTTAAACCCCTTAACCCCTTCCAGAGCCGGACGGGAGGGGGTCCCTGAGGGTGGGGGCACCCTCAGGGCACTATAGTGCCAGGAAAACGAGTATGTTTTTAAATACCCCTCTTGTGGATCCAACTGTCCGAAACCGGCCTTTAACCCCAGAATGTGCGCATGTGTCCTTTACGTAACGTCAAGCGCACGTCGACGTCTCATGCTGTGGGGTTATAAATTAGTGTAGATCCGCAGCGGCCGGCATCCATCAACATGCTGCAGGGGTCAGACACATGAACGGCACCACCACATTTATTGGCAAGGCAACCACCATCAATGTCGCAAGGTGAGGATGAACATGTGACAGTACCTCCCACCTGAAGACCACCCACCAGGCAGGCAGGACCAGGCTTAAGTGGAAATTTGGCATGGGAATAACGAATCTTACGACCAGTATGAATATCGGAAGCCGGAACTCAAGAACGTTAGGCAGGCCCATACACCTTCCAATCAACCAAATACTGTAATGAACCATGAGAAAACCAGGAATCGATTATGGAAGAGACCTCATACTTTTCCTGTCCAGAAACAACTAACAGGGTAGGTGTAAATACTTGGGACAGTATACTATTGCAAACAAGAGGTTTGAGCAAAGACACATGAAAGGTATAAAGAATACGTAAGGAGGCCAGGAGAGCCAGAGAATATGACACACGGTTAATTCTCCGAAGGATACGAAAAGGTCGCAGGAATCATGGAGGCAAACTTCATACTAGGTACTTTTAATTTAATGTTGCGCGATGAGAACCACACCTTGTCACCCACTTGGTAAACAGGGTTGGCACCCTGCCGTTTATCAGCATATAACTTGAAACGATCAGCCACAGTTTTGAGAGCGGAAAGAACCTTGGTCCACGTATCACTAATAGAAGTAAGGTGATAATCCAAAGCAGGGATAGTTGTGTCAGAGAAAACAGGCGGCTGCACAGTAGGATGACTGCCATTATTAACAAAGAACTATGACCAGAAGAGTCATGATTAGCATGGTTTCTAGCAAACTCGGCCCAGGGTAGTAGTTCGGACCAATTATCTTGAGTGCTATTAACAAAACAACGCAAATATAATTCTAAAGACTGGTTAGACCTCTCAGCTGTGCCATTGGTTTGAGGGTGATAAGAGGAAGAAAATGACAATTCAATGCCCAACTGTTTATTGAAAGCCCTCCAAAACCAAGACACAAACTGAGAACCTCTGTCAGAGACAATATTGTGAGGGATGCCATGCAAACAATTTCACGTATAAAAATAAGAACCAAGTCTTGAGAGGAAGGCAATTTCTTGAAAGGAACAAAATGAGCCATCTTGGAAAAGCAGTCAACCACCATAAGAATGGTGGTATAGCCATTTGAACAAGGAAGTTCCACGATGAACTCCATGAACAAATGGGACCACGGAACACTAGGTATGGGAAGCGGATGCAACAATCCACACGGAAGCTTATGAGGTACTTTGGAAACTGCACAAACGGAGCAGGCCTGCACGTATTTTTTTTTATTCTTTATTTATGGTTCATTTAATTTTATGCAGTTCGGTATGCAGGGTGTGGGTTACAGAAAAGAGAATGTGGTGGGTTAGGGGAAGGTAATGCACAGTTGTCCAGTTTCAGCTTTTTCTTTCATTCCTTTTTTCTTGTTTTTTACAATTACCCGTTACATATGCAGGGATGACATAGGCTGGAGTTATACATGTTTTTCAACAGTATATATATATATATAAAAAAATAAAATAAAAAAAAGACAATTCACCATGGTCTATGTCGCTTCTCTCTGTTGCATAGCTCTAGTATGTAGGGGAGAGTGCAAGCCTTGTCTTATAGTTATGGGCCTTATGGGGCGTCTGTTATACCCTATGGGTGTCGATGTTGCGGTCTAGGTTCTCTTCCCTTCCCCCTCTCTCTCCTCTCTGCCCCCTCACTCCGTTTGTAGTATACCTTTGTGGAGATTATTATTATTTTATTATTTATATAGCGCCAACAAATTCCGTAGCGCTGTACAATGGGTGGACTAACAGACACATAATTGAGATCAGACCACTGACGTACAGGAACAGAGGGGGTTGAGGGCCCTGCTCGATGAGCTTACATGCTAGGGGGAGATACTGTCAATTGTCGGTTACATGATGTTGTTTGCATTCAGTATGGTTTTGTCTCAGAGCTGGACGGTGACCTGGTCGTTGTAGGATTTCGTATGTTTCGGGGTGTGTGTGTCTCAGGAGGGGAAGTTCTGATGCCTGTTGATCCTGTGCAGGGGCAGGGTAGTGGTGCTGGGGAGAGGGGGTGGGTCAAGAGGGGAAATTCCCTGGGGTGGGAGGGTCCGTGGATCAACGGTTGTGGTGTGTCGCGGCACTGCGTCCCAGCCCGGTGGGCCTACTGGGTTTAAGGGTTGACTGGGCTTAAGAGGGTTATCTTGGGGAGTTGGCTCTTTATGGCTAATTTAGAATGTCTTTGGGGTGTTTGCGTCTGTGCAAGTTAGATTTTTATTTACCACGGTAGGGAGGTGTCTCCTTCTAGCCATGGGTCCCAGACCTTGTGGAAGCGTTTGGGCGTATCATGGAGTTGGGATGTGAGCTTATCCATTTGTACGTGATCCTGTATTTTTTGGGCGATAATCGTTTGTGATGGTATGCGGGTTGTTGACCACAGTTCCGCTATCGCTTGTCTCGTTGCTAGGGCGATGCGAGCACTGAGTTTGTTTTCTGCTCTGGTTAGGTTCTCGAGGGGTTTTGAAAGTAATAGGGCCCACGGATCTAGAGGGTATGGCTTATGTAGGATTTGTGTCAGTAGTGCAGTGACGCTGAGCCATCGGGGTTTAATTTTGGGGCAAGTCCACCAATAGTGGAGGAATGTTCCTTGTTCTCTACAGAGTTTCCAGCAGGTGTTGGGTGTTTTGTGAATGATTGCTAGGCGTTGGGGTGTGAGGTACCAGCGAAAAAGCATCTTGTATGCTTGTTCCGCGTGTGTTACGCAGATTGAGATCGAGGACGTTGCTTCCCAGATATCTGCCCAATCTGTGTTGTCCTCCAGGGGTCCAAGATCTTTTTCCCAGGCCGCTATGTAAGGCAATGTTACTTGGGTGGGGTGGGTTGCCAGAGTTGTGTAGAGGTCCGAGATTTGGCCTCGTCTGGAGTGGTTGGTGTGTGCATGCTTTCTTAAATCGGGAGAGTGTGGCCGTACCTGCTTGTTGGATTATCGGGGTTGAGGCAAAGCTGCGTAACTGAACGTATCGGAAATGGTCAAACGTCGTCAGAGTGTCAGCGTCTTTGATTTCCGAATATTTTATTACCTTATTATTTTGGTATAAGTGGCTGAGTCTTACAATGTCCCTTTGGTCGAAATGGGC